TTGTTACTAAATTAGCAAAAATAAAATTAAAATTAAATTCACAAATAAAAGCAGACTATCACAGATCAATGTTAACAATTTATAAGTACCAAGGACTATTATGAATCAAATTATGAAATAAAGTTACCTTAATTTTTAAAAAGGCTCAGTTCAGGAAAGCGTGAACTTACAGAAAAAATATTTTCTTGGTTATTCTACTCTTATGTGTCCTAATCATTCATCCCCCCCCCCTTCTCACCATATTGAGTTTAAAGTTGAGAAGGATTTCTGAACTGTACCTAATATTTCTGTAGGATAACACAGAACCACCTGGCAATCTTTCTCCATCCCTACTTTATTAACTTATTCAATCCTTCATTCAATGAGTATTAAAGAATCACTATGGTTCAGATCTACACAAGGTACCATAAAAAAAAAAAACTAAAGCACAAATGAGTTACTGAATTGAAGAATTTATAGTTTGCCAACACTGTATGGCATAAGACAGGGAAAGCTTCACAGAAGAGATAAACTTTAATGGGAATAGGGTTGATAAGGAAGACATTCCTACAAAAAATACCAAGGCTTAAAATAGAACAGTAACCTGTTCAGAGGGTCACAGGGAGTTCTACACAGCCAGATCAAAGGACACAAAGGAATGTGATAACAGACAAAACAAGAAAGATAGGCCTAAAATACCAACATGAAAATATCTCAGTCTTTCTCGGAAAACTCAATCTAGGGCTGTCTCATAAAACTACAGAAATATCCTCTAATACAAGAATTCTTTATTTTTTTGTGGTTTTGGAAACACTGTTGAGTCCTACTCGTCTGTCTTCAGAATGTTAATATGTATATAAAATAAATGAAATTCCAAATATTTTTTTAAGATACTCCATCCTTAAGGTAGTAGAGCATAAGTATGATCTATGTACATGGTGTTTAAGACACACTACCTTAAAACATGGTGTCCTGACATTTGAGTAAACAGCAGAAGCAAGAGAGTCACTCTTACCTCCCTCTCATCTATCTCCCCTGAGGCCAATCATGTAACCTGTGAAGGTCATTCGTGACCTTCTCACACCTACCCTTCCTCAAACAAATCATAAGATCCTCATTAGATAGATGTTCTCCCAATTCTAGAAGAAAAGGAACATCATTATCTCTGAAGACACAGAGAAGAACCTGAACAGAGTTCTTGCTAAATTTCCCTCAATTTATTACCAGCAGATGATTGCCCTTTGTCCAATCATACTTCTCCATGAGTATCTTGTCATCAAACCTAAACATAAGACAGAAGTTTACCCGTTWCTTTGGGTCTTCATTTCTTCATGAAGCCTCCTTTGTCATGCAAAGCTTACCTAAATCTGTATGTTTTTCTTTTGTTAATACGTCTTTTATCTCAGGGGAGCAGCCATAAACCTAGCAATACTCTTCCACTTCCAAAGAGTACAATATAGAAAAGAAGCGGGGTCTAAAGGCAACTTTACAATGGAGAAACCTGAAAGACACTGTACACAGCCACCAGATAAGGTTAACATCAATAGTAGTAAGTCAGGTTAATTTARTAGAATATACCCTTGATAAATAATGTGATGAAAATGGCACTTTTATTTCTCTGACCTTCATCTCAAAAACATATTAACCAGTCTATCCATGAGAAGATCATCAGATAAATCCCAACCAGAAGACATTCTACAAAAATATGTGGTTAATATTCTTTAAATCCATTAGTCATCAAAATAGGAAGGTTTGAGAAATTGTCACAACCAAGGAAGGGGTCTGAAGGAGACAAAAATRTTAAATATAATGTGGTATCTGGATAGGATCCCATTACAGAAAAAGGACACTAAAGAAAACTAGGAAAATCTGAATTAACTAAGGACTTTAGTTAAAACACATAGCAACATTGGTACAATTATTGAGAAAAATGTTCCATATTTATGTAGGATGCTAGCAACAGGATAAACAGGGTATAGAATACCTAGGGTATACTATCTTTGCAATAATTCTGTAAGTTTAAAACTGTTCTCAGATAAAACTTCTTAAAAAATAAATAACATGTACAGGACTAGAAAGGAAACAAATTACACTAAAATTTATTTGTTTGTTTGTGCAGTACTGAGGATTGAAACCAGGACCTTGTACATGCTAGGCAAACATCCTCCCACTAGCTATATCCTCAGCCCTTTTTGTCTATGTGGTACTAGGAATTGAACCCACTGAACCATACCCCCAGCAACATTTTAATTTTATTTTTGAGTCAGGGTCTCACTAAGTTGCTAATAGACTGGCCTTGAACTTGTGATCCTCCTGCCTCAACCTCCCAAGTCTTGAAATTTCTATGGTGAGTCATATGTACTGCTAACAGTTCTGCAGTTTCTGGTTTATTTCAAAATGGAAGAAACAATTTCATTTAAAAGCTTACTAAGACTAAATATGCAATTATTTTCCTTTCTAAGTTCAAAGAACTCTTGAACTCCACCATAAGAATCCATCCTCTAAAGGGAAAGACAGAATAAGTATTAGTACCATATGTACACTGTATTACAGGATCTCTGATAATCACTATATATACTTGGTGTCATTAAACCTTCAACAGTACCACTCCACAGATTGGGCAGATGTGACTAAAACTAGATACAAATGATAGCACAATTCCAAATGAAGACTGACGAAACACATCTAAAAACATCCTAATTTTGAGGAACACCCTACTGAATACACTACAACTCACCAATGGTACTRTTATATATGTATTTTATATCTATATATAATTTATATATATAAATATATATTTATTTATATAATTATATATATAATGTTCTGTTTGTGCAATCAGGTTAAAACTAAAGTATAACATTTTCTAGAGTTCCACAGGAAATCACCACCACGATTATCACCATCACCAGCTAACCCAAAGAAAAGGGTAAACATAGAAGCTCCCCATCCTTGTGCAAATCTAAAAAATAAATTTTTTTATTCCATTTTCCAAGTAACATATGCACAGTTCCTATCTTTCTAGAGTAGGTATGTACCCACATATGTTTTTTAATTATACTTGCAAGGTGAGATAATTAATACATATTTTATTCAGGCTATAGCAGTTTCTTGGTTGATCCAACTTAGTATTACCAATTCTGTTTTCTTAGAATAAGTTGTTTCACAACAATGATCAATCTCCTAAACTTCATTTTCAACTTCAATTGTAATTTGGCCGGCAAACTTAAAGCAGATTTTTGAAAAATAATTACAATATTCAATAATTCCTCTAAGTTTATCTTAAGAATTTCTTAGTTGATACAGGCTATTCCACAAAAGCTATATCCAAATAATGATCTCTCCTCCTACAATATGCCACTCTATCAGGAATTATAAGTAAACATATTTAGATCTGAATTCTCACCTACAATATGCCACTCTATCAGGAATTATAAGTAAACATATCTAGATCTGAATTCTCAGTCTGTCCATTACCATGTATGAAAATTGTTATAAGCCACTTTAGGTTTCTAGGTTTTAAACTATCAGTCACTACTGACAACTGAGAATAATAAGAAATCCTTACTATGTAAAAATTAAAGGAAAAAAAATGGTTGTAATAAAATCACTGAGCAAAGTGTCAAATATTATTTGTACAATGGGGTTTACTTTTAAGTTGCAAATTTTCCCTAGCAATGATTACAGAGGATCTTTGCTGCAATATTATTTTTCTGTTAGCTTTAGTTGATTCTTTAAATAACAAGAGTTTTGCTCAAGAGAAGGATTTTATCTTTCTTTGGAAGAAGCCAAGATCATCTCCATTTAAGGACACACAAGCAGCTGCTGCTACACGTTTTAGTTACCCACAAGAAAGTAATGCAGGCTAAGTTCACTCTGCTATAAAGCATTTAAAAAATTTTTAAATGCAAATAGTTTCTCCAAAATTAAAGAGGAAATTTAAAAATCAGAATTAGCAAATATGCTAAGTAAATCTAATATATAGAACAATAAAATTATATAAAAAGAAAATAGAAGATACCTTCCTCCTCAAAAGTATTCTTTTCTCACTGATTAACTGTCTTAGGTAGTTATATGATTATACTTAATAAAATTTCACATATGTAATAATTTATAGGAAAGCAAATCATACATAAACATAAGCCTTATTATATGCAACTGATTAGGAATCTACAGCTATTTTAATTATTTTTTGCTATTAAGTTACCCTTATTATTTTGTCAGCTTTAAGAAAAATGTAGTAGGATTTTGTGGTAATTTAGTGCAGTTATTTTTAAAAAATCTTAAATACTTAAATTTTTAAATTGTTATTTTTCTTGGGATGATACATATCAGTTTAAATTGGGAATTATTATTCATAAATACATTGTTAAACTGCTAACTAAAAAAACAAAATTTAACTAGTTCTTAAGATAAAGCTGTGTTTTTGCTTTTGTTTTTTAACCAAAAACAGTTATTAGCCTGGTTTTATCATGTACATTCCCTCCCCCATACACATAGATATAAGGCACAATAACAACGTAAGTTAGGAAAAGGTATAAAATTCGATTCTGTAAAAACATTTTTGTCTTGCTAGAAGCTACCATTATGAAACTGCAATATTAAAGAAACAGCAGCAAAAAAAAAAAATCAATGAAAGCTGTTCCACTGAAGCCTGTATTATTATTCTCATTGTATTAAAATTCCTATTACAATAACTATTTAACTCTTAAAAGTCATTACCATCAATATACAATTATCTCTAAGAGTGAGATGCAAAAATCTTTTAAGGACAGCTTCCTATTGCCCCAGCTTGCTTAATTTTTTTTTTTCATGTATCCGCCACATACTWTTTAAAAATTWAAAAAAAAATGAAGCAYTAAGTGTTAATGACCTTTCTATACCTAAAGTAAGATAAATAAAGTTCTAAAGGTTGGTTGTGATATGACTATGACTAACCAATCATAACTTCGGAATTCCTGTGTGACATCATAAGGCCTCCCTAGAACAGATTTTCTCCTCCACCTACTCCAACCCTTCACATAAACCTGGTAACAGTCAGAAAACCTCCCAGCTAAACACCCATAAGACTTCACACAAGTTGATACTCTTTATTGTGATGACCACAGAAACCAAGGTAAGAAACAGACTTCACTGATTTTTATAATTCATACTTTCTGAACTTTTAAAAAAAGTGTTAATCATATTTTCTATATTTCAGTTTTAAGTTACAATAAAATGTTTGCTATGACAAAAATTCTTACTTTCTAAATAATTGTTTATCCATTTTGTGACAGTGAAAATGAAACTTAATTTTGAAAAGCATCACATTCATTTTTGATACTGGTTATTGACTTGTTATTTTAACTTTCACTTATATTTTGCTTTTTGAGTGAATTTCTGCCAATTTAAGAATCTTCCAATTATGTTACCTTATTTGGTAGTAGGGTGGTTTAATTTTTCTATACCAGAAAAAAATGGCTTAATTTGTTATATGTTATTCTGCTGAAATATAGTGAGCTATTTACATCTGGAATAATATCAAAAGTTGTGTGACAACATGCACATTATCACAATACCTCTTCCAATATTGTTATGATTTCTTACAGTGATACTAATAAAATAGAGCTTAAGAATAGACRATACTTTTAAAATGACCTTAAAGATTTTTCCTCTCTATAAAGTCCAGTTAACTGTTAATAAAGACTTCTAAAAATTCCAGGCTTTAATAAATTGAACTGTTTCTATTTAATTCAATACTATATCATAAAGAACAAGTTTAAAAATTTTAAAACACTTGTCATAAACATACATAAAAGTTTTTCTGAAATTATAGAATAATTCAACACTTTAAAAATGTTTGATACCTAAACATTCTAAGTCTCATTTGAGCAAATCTGATAAAATGTTTATTCTGCCTATGAATACACTTTTGTCAAGTTATTATACTCCAGTGTTTCTCAGATTCCTCCAGTAAATTTAYAAAAGAAAAATAATACCTAGGAATAGAGATGCCACAATCAAATGTTTCCTCATCCTTAAATCTGTCAGAGCATATGAAAAATTATATATTTTATTTCATTATTTTTATATTTTACCTATATGATCAAATAAAATCTACATTTAGAATTCTCAATTCCTATGATAGTTGTTAATTCCATCACTCAAGACAAATACAAACTTTATAATCCCATAAGCAGCTTAACACATGAAAACATGTATTTCTAATTTTTGTCTAAAACTGAAGCACTCTAATTGCCACTCAATATATTTATATTCATAAAATATTTTCCTTTGGTATATTATACAACTAACTCAGCACAAGTTTATATGCATATTTATGTACTTGTATTCAAATACGATTTAAATTACATTTTCACACTGTAAACAGGGTATTTGTTGAGTTATTTCACTCTTAACAGAATTTCATATCACATTACTCCAAAAAGTAGATAAAGAGCAGAAATTCTATTAAAGTTACTGTTAGTGTATATATAATTTCTGTAAGTCTGAACACACTATTTAGCTAACAGTTTAAAATGTTAACAACACTAAGTGTTGTTAACATTTTAAACATAATGCCATAGTCCAGACATCATGTCCAAACTAGTGCATTTCTAAGGTATCATCCACATACTGTCATCATTTATAAAGACATGTGCTTTAAAAAGTATGTGCTAAAATATGTGTTAAATGAAATCAAATGGAATAAATATGAAAGATTTGTAAATTATGAAATGTTAAGTGTTAAAAACAGGTGACAGAGCTGGCTTATTTACAAAAAAAACTCACATCACATCATTATCATTTCCTCAAGTTCACATATCAAAATTATTTTAATAGGATCTTAGACATACAGAAAAATAACTGTATTTGGGTTACACACTGTTTATTAATCTTATTGACTGGAGACAGTAGAACAGCTGCTTAAATAAAACGACTCAAGAAAAAATTAGTATATTTAACAAAGATCCTAAAAGTATAGTCTTAAAAATTTAGTGTATTTTAAACGTATTATATAATGTATTTACTATGTTATATGTTAAAACTTTAATTGAAAACAAAGTATAGATTTCCTATTTAAACAGATGGTAATTCTAGAAGATAGTAAGTTTAAACATTCTTCTTTATTATTGAAAAAGACTTTCCTTAAATGCACTGTGGACACATATTTCATTTAATCTTCCTAATTCTCTGGGTTTTGTATTGCATCTCTCCTTCATAATTTAGGAAACAGATGCAAAAGGTTCCCCTATTCACAAAACTATGAATAGAGAGACCTTGGCAAGAGTCTAGGTTCTGACTCTAAACCATATGCACTATACACTAATGAACATGACAATAATAAATCAAGACATTGACAAAACAAATAGAAAGTGATATATATTGCAAATGGCCTTTACCAGGCAAACTAAGACTTCTATTAATTTAAAACCACTTCATTTCATTTAAATTTAATTTATACATTTTATCTTTAATAAGCTAAATATATRTTCTACAAATCATCTTTAAAGTGTCAGATGTAAGAAAATTACAGATGTCCTTAGTTATAATGCAATAAACACTAGTAGGAAAAAATTCAAAATTATCACACATACTTTGAAAAACACAATCAATCAAATTAAAGTTTCCTGTTATTTAATTTGTTTAAGTGATGAAAACATACCTTCAAACCATTTAGGCTTGATACCTATAATCCAGCTTAATTTTTGTGGAAACTTTCCACAAGTCTGGTATAGTAGCACATGCCCGTATCCCAACAACTTGAGAAGCTGAGGCAGGAGGATCACAAGTTTAAGGTTAGCCTCAGCAATTTATCAAGACCCTGTCTCAAAATAATAAATAAAAAGGAATAGAGATGTACACTTCAGTGGTAAAATGACTCTGGGTTCAAAAAAAATAAAAGAAACTTTTCACAAAAACCATAGTTTATTCCACTCCCATATTATATCCTTAGTTTTCCTCAATTTCATTGTTGTTTCAATTATTCTACCATGTAAATATTCAAGTCCATTTGTTTTGAAGTACTTGAATAAAGGAACCTTGCTCTTTTTTTTTTTTTGGAGAGGAGGATACCAAGGATTGAATCTAGGGGCACTTAACCACTGAGCCACATCCCCAGCCCATTTTATTTATTTATTTATGTTAGAAGGGAGTGACTGAGGATTGAACTCAGGGGCACTCAACCACTGAGCCACCTCTCCAGCCCTATTTTGTATTTTATTTTAAAACAGGGTCTCACTGAATGCCTCCCTTTTGCTGAGGCTGGTTTTGAATTCGCAATCCTCCTGCCTTAGCCTCCCAAGCCGTCATTTTATTTTTTGAGACAAGGTCTTGCTAAGTTGCTCAGGGCCTTGCTAAACAACAGACTCTGAACTTGGGATCCTCCTGAATCACCCTCCCAAGTGCTGAGATTGCAGGTGTGTGCTGCTCACACTGGTGAAATCTTCCTTTTATTTATTTATGAATAAAATTCACTTTCATTTGAAGTGTGAATTGACAGAATGCTGCTTGTACTGGCAAAGGAGCAAACTTGGAGTCAGAGAATCAAGAAAATAATCCTAAATTACAGTGGCATGTATCAGATAAGAAGCAGTCTCTCTGGACATCTCCAGAAATAATTCATCAATATTCTTACCCTACATAATTCTGAAGCATGTATTACCAAATAAACACTTAAAAATAAAGTCTGGGTGTACATCTCCACTTCAGTATAGTCACAGTCAACTGAGGACCTCTAGTGCTTTGTAAAGTGTACTCCATCTTCGGGGCTTTAAAAAAAAAAAATTAGATTCATTCACATTGATTGGGATATACTTATTAAATGCCAATCATCATTCCCTAAGACTTCTCCCAAATTCCTTCTCCAACTCTCCTTTAAAAAAGTTCCACATATACATAGTTAAAACGAACTAATTTTAATGCAAGTGAATTAACTGTAAAACATTATTTCAACATGTAAAGAACTGAAAGTAATGAAGACAAAATAACAGCCACATGCCAATTTCAGAGGGAAATCTCTCTCTGTGCTACAGCTTAATGAACTGTCCTCAAGGCAGAGCTTAAAAGCTAGGACACTGCATTTTGGGGGTCAAGTTAGTATTAAGGAATATATTGATTTTTATGTTTATATAATTATTTTCATAACCAGTTAGAATCAGCTTATAGATTCAGAAAGCTGAATCTTTCCTTCTTTCAATTTAAAAAAAAATCATAAAACTCTATCTTGATTTTTTTCTCAATTTCCAATGCCTTCTTTGAGCAAAAGAGAAAAGACTTGATAAATTCCCCAAAGAGTAAAAAGTTAGTTATACCCTTCCTATACTAGAATATTAGAATATTAATGGATCTCACATACAAACAACATACTCTGTGGGTACTTTCCTGTTTCTTACATGCAACAAGAGACAAGGATCTGGTATTCCTATAAACCAACTTCTATCAAGTAACACATATTTTCAGTACTACAATACATAAGATGTGGATTTTTTTTGTGGCAGGGAAAATTATCAGGGATTTAATCCGGGGCACTTAACCAGTGAGCCACATGCCCAGCACTTTAAAAAAAAAAAAAAAAGTGTTGTTTTTTTTTTGTTTGTTTGTTTGTTTTGTTTTGTTTTTGAGAAAAGGATCACTAAATTGCTTAGGGCCTCACTAAGTTACTGAGGCTGGCTTGAACTTGTGATCCTCCTGCCTCCGCCTCCTGAGCTGTTGGAATTACAGGCATGTGTCATTGCACCCAGCTTGGATGATTAATCTTTAAATGCACCTGCAAATATTCTTTCTGTCACAAAGCACCCAATATATACCTACAGTCATTCTTAAAGGAGGGGGGTTCTAAATTAAGTTCTGTGCATGTTTACGATAAAGATGACAAGGGACTAAATTCAATCTCCTAGGCCATTTAAGCCAGATGCAAGTTCAGAAAAAAAGATCAGATAACATAAAATTAAGCCATTTTCCACACTTTCCATTAAATATTATGCTATTAATATCTTGGCTATAATTAAGGGAAAAAAAGAGGACTGCAAGATTTCAAAACTTATAGGAGAGAAATTGGTGCWGAAAAAAATAATAATAATAAACACCTGACAACTATGCCATAAATTGTAATGTAGGAATCAGATAATTCAAAAAATGCAAATATGCAGTTCTCATACACAGTCTTTCAATTCTCAAGATATATAAGAAAGCCCTATCTTCTAGGGATGAAAAGTGGTTTATTTATTATCATGCAGATTTTAGAAGTTCAGCAGAGTTAGAACAACACATCAGATTATAACACAATAAAATAAATTGAACCCTCCAAATAAAATATGTACTAACATTTCAGCATGTAAAGCAAATTTAATTGTAGCCTAAGATTATAAAGGTTACCACATATCACTTTAAAATCGTGACATTAAATGTCTAAGTTCAACAAGCACTATTTGTTTCCAGGACCAAACTCTTCTTCAATAATAGTTGGCTGTTACAGTATCTTAAAATCATCTTTAAAATACATTAATTAAGGACTGAAGATGTGGCTCAGTGATAGAGCATTTGCCTCATAAGCATGAGGCCCTGAATTTGATCCCTAGCACTACAAAAACAATAAATTATTAAAATATATTAATCATACTTTTGTAAGTAGAGASCTCATCTCTTTAGGGTGTAACTCTTTGTATTTCACAAACACCAAAAACTCATTTTTTTTTACACAAAGCCTAGTTCAAGTTAATAGTGTATTAATCAGAAGACCATACATAAACATAGATTTAAATCCTCTAAGTCTCATTTTCTTCATCTGTGATTGGAGGAGACTTGAAAAACATATTAGAGCTTACAAGTTTAATTATTGAATTCTATTTTTCTAACTGGTTAATCTGATCATTGAGAATCTTCTAAATTTTTTAGTCAAAAAAAATCTTCAACTTTATTGATTTAATCAAACAGTGCCAATTATGCATTGAGTGCTAAGATACAAAATGAATACATGGTTATTTTAGTTATTAACTAAAAGTCTAGTTGAAGATATTGATATGTAAACTGAATTTACAGACACAAACTGACAGATATTTAAAAACAAATACACTGAAGTCCTACTAAAAACCAGCAGAGGTGATTACCAATTCTACCTTAATGAATAATGAAAAGTTTTATTAGGAAATGATATTTAAACTAGGCCTTAAATATCAACTGGAGTTTGCCTGGCAGAAAACCAAAAGGTGGAAAGGGGTAGGGGTTGAGGGCATTACAGGCAGAAGARCGAAACATGTGCAAAGAACGAAAAATCCTTAAAGGAAATATAGATTTATAGAAACATATTTCTTGTGACTGAAGGTATCATTCTTCAGTCAGAATAGGGGATGATTCCTTATATATGCTTTATGACGAACTGCTAGCTAGCTCCCTCTTTTCCCATTTTTTGTTTATCTTAAAATAATTTTTAAAAATTGATGTTTTAAGACCAGTTAAAAGCCCTGAAATTCCACAAAAATATGTGAGTTCAAATAGAAGTTATCAGTGCTAATTCTTCAACTGTATTCTGATATATCTCCAAATATATAAAGGAATAAAGAAAATCCTCCAATGATTTCCTAATAGTATAATTTCACTTGGGTCTACAGTAATTCACTACAATAAATCCACTAGATATTAAAATAAATATAAGCAGAAATAACATAAAGTTACATTTTCTTAAAGAACAAAAGAAAATACCCCCTACTTCTGCTTTCATCTGGAGAACTCAAACAAAAATAATTAAATATATGCCAAGTTTAAGCTGCTATTTTCCAAGTGGGAAATGTTACGGATAAGTTTAGCCACCTGCATTGAACAACAAAGAATGTATTTTAGACAAAATATAAGTTGTTGTCAACTCTTTAAGAGAATAAAGTTTGATAAAATTTGGCTTTGTATAACTCCTTACTATGGCTCTATACTATGATGGAGGACAGAGACTCAAGTCATATGGAAGCCCATTCTGTTATACAATTTAAAGTACTGAAGATTACAGAATCTAACCACCACATACCACATGGTTTCTTTGAAAAAACCAAATGCCAAAGTCCAACTAGTTATGTGCCTCATATATGTCTTCCCTGTTCCATTCTTCTCTGCTTTGCTCTCTTTAGCATATGCCTCTATTAGGTTTAGGATRGCACTCTAGGTGGATTTTCCCAGAATGTCTAGAAACCAAGTGAAAAATGAAACCTGGCAATATAGTAATAACATGTTAACAATAATGTAACAATAAATGCTAACCATTATCATTTCTGGACAGTTAGCTATATTTTCTTAAAAATTTTAATTTTTCCTACTTCAAAACTGACATAGAAGGGCTGGGCGCAATGGCACAGGAGAATCACCAGTTCAAAGCCAGCTCAGCAACTTTGCAAGGCCCTAAGCAAATCAGTGAGACCCTATCTCTAAATAAAATACAAAATAGGACTGGGAATGTGGCTCAGTTGTTTAGTGCCACTGTTTTAATCCCCAGTACCCCTCCCACCCCCAAAATTGACATAAGGATTCTGAATGAAAACAGAAAATTCTCAAATGTTATTACTCATTACATCTGGACAATTAATTCATACTTAGTTTGTTTTTTTTTTAGAATTTTAATATTTATTTTTTAGTTTTCAGCGGACACAACATCTTTGTTTGTATGTGGTGCTGAGGATCGAACCCGGGCAGCACGCATGCCAGGCGAGCGCGCTACCGCTTGAGCCACATCCCTAGCCCTATACTTAGTTTTTAATCTAACTCATTCTATGATATATTTTTATTTTTATTATCAAAGCTTAGGTCCCACAAGCAGCAAGAGATTGTGAGATTTCTGAAATAGGGCTTGACATAAACCACTGCTCATAAGTACAAGACATTTGTGAACAGAATTGCCCATGGTAGCTAGTAAGATAATAATAATTACTAAACCTATTGTGCTTGACAGTCCTCAGTACATAATAACAAATTTTGTTGAAATGATATTTAAAGTAACATTCTACAAAGCTATAAAACCTTAAAGAGGAATGCCAAACAAGTGAAATATATTTCAGACTAAAATTAAGATCTAAAGAATAACTTTTAAATGCACTTCTATTCCCTGAGATTAGCTCTGGAATTTTTAATATATATCAATTATATTTACAGAGAAACAGACTTAAGAATTTTTGCCAAAAGGAATAGCTCAAAACAAGCTGTACCATAACCCAAACACAAAGACAAATGAGATTGTAATGATATTTTCCCACCAAAAAGACAAAAACACATGTATGCACAGACATACACACACATTATAGAGATTTGATGTTATAAATACRAAATATAGTGTTGAAAAAGAACAATTAATGCACATGTGTTTTACCTATTCAGAGAACAGGTTATACATATGATCCTAATCCATTTACTATTTTTACATTCCAGACTACCTAAAAGGAGACGGTTACCTCAGATTGGCTGCCAGCTTTTTATCTTTCTCTTGACCACTTAAAACTTGACTTCCTGCCTCCTGGCATCATGGAGAAAGTCCAATACCTCACTCGCTCTGCTATAAGAAGAGCCTCAACTATTGAAATGCCTCAACAAGCACGTCAAAATTTCCAGAACCTGTTTATCAATTTCTGTCTCATCTTAATATGTCTCTTGCTGATTTGCATCATCGTGATGCTTCTCTGAAGTTCTGCAGCAAACTCCAGATCTGCAACTTACTACTTTGGTTTAAAATGTCATCCYATGAACAGGGGAGCCCGCTTCCCAAGTAGAAGAATTTCTTTATGAAAAGGTCAATTAAAACAAATTGTTAGTAAATGCATTTGCTAGATCTTGTAAACATGAAAAGGGCTYAATTTTCAAAACTGACTATACATGTGTACAATGTAACTGTTGATTTCCTCAAAATGGCTTATAAATTTCTTTCCTAAATCTTTTCTGAGGATGAAGTAGGAGTTTAATTTTGAAATAGCCCTACTAACAAATTCACTTCATATATAAAATTTTAGCTTCACAACTTGGGGCAAATGTTATTTRCATTGCACAGTAAAAGCTTCTTTGTAAGTATTTTTCAGGTCTTTACAAGTGCCAAAATAATAGTACAAATGAAGTATTATTATTCAAAATAGCTCACTGATCCTCACATCTATTACTACTACTACTATTATTATTATTGTCACTACATCATTATTATACAGAAGTCTTGGTAGTAACTCCATTCTAAAATAGTTATATTATTTTCTATACTATATTAACATGTTTTGAAGTGTAGGAGAATCAAATAAGGGTAAGACCATAATCTTATATAAATAAAATTTCTCTTAATGTTTTCAATAATTATACAATTCTACGACTTGTAAGTTAGCCATAGGAACTGGTGATCAACTTAACATCTCATAGTATGATTGCCATAATTACTAATACTCATAGAGTCTAACTAATTTAAAGCTGTAGCAAATTATTTGAGCTATAATATCTAACTTTCCATAGTATATTCTTAAAATCATGAGAGCTTAAAATTTCCAAAATATGGTTACTAAAAGAATTTGAAACATCAATATTGACAAGTGTTGTTGGCTGAATAGTGAAGGAGACACTGCTTTTAAGTTCTTGGAATCCTGAGAAGTACTGGAGATAGAAAGGGGAACAGTTTGGGTTTGTAAATATTTAAGGAGCAGACAGTAAAAAGGTCTCATACTAGCCAGAAAACATATAAATCCTATATTAGACCTCAACTTCACTGGTCTCAGAATTTACCTATGCAACAGTATACAAATTCTATAATTAGCTATACTGATATTAAAAAACAGAAAACTTCAACTGATAAGTTCTATGTGCTTTATTATATTGTTCATTACAACATCAATTTCAAACTATTAATGGTGGGAGTTTTACCTCAGTAAAATGCAAATAAAGATTATTTTTGTTCTTTATTCTTTCATAAAAATTAACAACTCATACTTCAAAGATTTCAGAATACTATAATTTATATTAAAATGTAGAAAAAATCCTATTCTTTAAATGAAACTCTCATTTTATCATGTTATATAAAGAGCAAGCTGTAAGAAAACAATGTGGGGTTGTGGCTCAGTGGTAGAGTGCTTGCCTAGCACGTGAGGGGCACTGAATTCAAGCCTAGCATCACATGAAAGAAAGAAAGAAAGGTAGGTAGGTAGGTATTGTGTCCATCTATAACTAAAGTGCCAAAATTTGTAAGTACTAAATGTTCAAACACTTTCTCCTTTGGAATGAATTCTAATCTTAATTTATAGGACACAAAAATGACTAATTTTTGAATGTTTAATGCTGTCTTTCATATTTTCATTGTTTAAAAATTTATATTTAATGCAAATAATCAGAATCACCTATGTTAAAATGAATGTTCTTGAACTCAGTAAAACTGCTCCATTATTCAGGAATGACGTTTGCTATAAAATGTTCTAATTATAAATAGTTTTGATACTGTAGAGGGTTTTTGAGGGGACTTTCCCCAAATAAAATATAAACAATTTCCTAGTATAAACACAAGAGGGCAGACCTATATCAGGTAGTGAATTGCTATATTCTAATAGTCTCCCGATTATTTTTGATTTTTCTAACAAAGTGGGAATATGATAAATCTCAAAATGGATCTACTTGTGTTAAGTAGCCACACATTTTAAAATAAGCTATACGCCAAATTATATAGAAAAGGTGACAAATAGAAAATCAGACASATTACTATGTGTATATAAAATCAGCTAATGAATGTGTCATAATTTAATATCCCATCTATAGAAAATGCCCTAATATCCACCAAGATTATATCAGACAGTAAAAAAAAATAGAATGTAAAGATAAAAAATAAAAATAAGAAAACTTAAGAATGTAATAAAATACATGAAACACTCCCAGGTTATCCTTTAGGTCATTTTGTCAAATTATTTTATTTATATAGGAGAAAAACCTCCATTAAAATATGTTGAAATCAGGTATCAATATTTTGATTAGTAGCAAGTCACTTTATGATTTAAATAAGCACAAAATTTCATCTTCCACTTTTTAATGATTTCAAGACCAAAATATCTCCGGGAATATAAAGAAAAAAAGGGATAAACAAAAAGACCTGACAAGAACAATTTCAGAGAAGGAAAAGTTTATTTGGGGGCTCACAATTCTGGAGGCCTTAGCCAAGATAGCTGGTTCCATTACTCAGGGCTTGAGTGAGGTAGAACATTGTGGTAGAAAAGTTTGATAGAGGAAAGCAGCTGGGAACAAGGGCATCCAAGAAGCAGAAAGAAAGAGAAAGAGAGAGAGATTCTACTTGCCAGATACAAAATATATACCCCAAAAGCATGCCTCCAGGGATCCACTTCTTCCAGTCACACCCTACCAGCCTTTAGTTAACCACCCTGTTAATCCCTTTCAGGGGATTATCACACTGATTGGGTTAAGGTTCTCATAATCCAATCATTCCACCTCAAAGACTTTCTTACATTGTTCTCACRCATGACCTTCTGGGGAATACCTAATATCTAAACTATAATACACCACTACTTTACTACTGTTGGGGAGATCCACTGTGGATGTGTAGGAACCCAACAGATATCCCTCTATCTCCAAAGCAAGGAATGCACTGGAAGGAAAGGGAAGTATATTTCCCTAAAAAAAGTCAAGATTTTGCTTTTTTCTTCTGTCATAATGCTTAGAGTCAGTCATGGCAGGGTGGGGAGTAATGGACTAGAGAAGAAAAGAACCAAAGACTAGGGRTAGAAATTGCATATGGAGCCCTATATTCTAATCCAATTGGGGGCATATATGGCTTCTCTTCATTCATAAAGGGATATGCATCTGAGTTCTATACGACCTCAACTCTAAGATGACTTAGCAAGAATCAAGAAAATCAATGAACTTATGTCTGTGTGGCAGACTCAATAATTGTTCTGGATTAAGTCCTAAAGAGAGCAAGCCTTCCTTATTACAAATTAACTTTTGGGGAATAGTGGAACTGTGAAGAGCAAATGAGATCAACACTCTGAGAGCTGCCACAAAATTTTATATAATCTATTGTGTTATCAGATCATGACTTTAAGCCAAATTCCTTTTCTTTGATGTAGAAGATTTTTTTCCCATGGTGAGAGTTGAGCAGTTTTGACTGAAAAAAATCCTGATTATCAGATGGACTGATCCTTAATAAGGTTGTTCACTTTATGTAAAAACTACACTAAAAGGAAGTTCAGTCAATGCTTCAAAGAGATTTTTAAGAAATAATCATGAGAAGAATGTGTAAAATAAAGATAATACTTGGAGACACCAAGGAGAAGTTAATTAATAATCTTTCTCTGTAATAGACCATGAAATAAATTAGAAGAGAAACAGTGATTCAAAGATTGTAACAGAAGGGCCAGGAGTATAGCTTCCATGGTGGAGCACTTGACTAGTATGCATGACGCCATTTTGATTCCCAGTACCCCTTTTCCCCACCCCACCAATACCCCATAAATTGCAACTGAATTATCTAGTGTTCTTTACCTGAATTCATCATTCCACTCTCAAATTTAAAATTACTATATAAAGAGATCATCCTGTAAAACGTTAATCAAGAAATAGGGAACTTTGGGACACATACACGTTTGTTTCATGCAATAATAGCTTCATTCTTCCAATATGTGCAAGGAAATTTAAAAATCAATTTTTCTCCACAATACACTTCCAATCTCCCTAACCTCTCTATATTGCTTCAGAGTTAGAGAAAACCTTGGGTAAAGCAGACGTTCCTCCAAGTAGAATAAAAGGATAAGTAAATTAATATTCATTCCTTTAAATTAGCCCAATTTTGTCAGTTACATTTCTCTTTTCATCCCTGTGTTTCAGTTTGGAGTAGTATGTATACTCATCCCCATGAACAGCTCCAATTCTATGTAAAGACACCTGCTAGAAAGACAACTGTCTGATCCTTGTTCTTCAATAATCACAAGCATTTAAAAACTGTTATAGTATTTGAACAGTAAGGTATCCTATCTTTCTAATCACTTGAATAAATCACAAATAAATCTGRCTAAAGCACTCTTTTAAAATTTGTAATTTAAACATCCAAATGATGCATTGTTTATGTGGTTTAAATATATAAAATATCAAGATTATAAAAAATGGCCTACCAGGAATGATAACCTGGGTTCAATCTTCCTGGATAAGTGATCTCTGTTAGTAGTGATCTCTGTTAGTAGTAATGAATAGTAATTTAAAATTTTAACTCTAGGGAAATTTTGTAATTTTTGATAGAATTCATTTCAGAAAATTCTGATAATAAAAAGTAGATGACAAGATTTATGTTAGAAAATTGGTTTCCTGGTTAAAATTCCCAGTTGACATTTCCAGATCAAGAAATTTATACATTTATGTTATTCTGTAGACCCATTAGGGACTCTACACTACTTTTTCTTTATATATTATATGACCATAAAGCCTTTTCCTTAAGCTGATTAAGAAACAACCAACACTTGATTTTTCTAATAAAAAAAAAGCATGTCTSGATTTATAAACCTAAACACATATCATCTGTAACCAAAACTTTAAAAATGACTTTAGTTCTACCTTCTCATTTTATAGATGAAGGAACTGAGGCCCAGAGAAATTAATGTTAAAAATCATCCAGGTTCTAAATCTGATAAAATCCAAGATCTAGTAATCCCAAGTCAACTTTCTATCACACCGTGTCAGCTTCTTTGTTTCTAAGTTTCCTAAAATATATGCTTTGCTTTATTTATTTTTATGCCTACTTAACAAGTGAGAAAGAAAAGACTAAGGTAGAAATTTTAAGTTTTTCAAGTTAATTAGTTCTAATTTCTTTGTAAGTTTTTTTAATCAACGCAAAACTTTTCAAATTTATAACATCTATGCTTCCAGAAGACAGAAAAGGCAAAATAATCAGTGATTGTGATGCTTCCTGCAAAGTGCACAACATCCACTGGAGGGAAGCAAATACTAGGTTTTGAGCCTTACCTGCATTGGTGTTTCACTTCCTTGTCGAAATTCTTCAATTTGCTGTTGTTGCCAAGGAGCTAAATTATAAGAGTCCTCCGTAGTTCTACCTTCCAAAGGGTTTGTCCTTAACTGCTCTGTAAGCCACATCTGAGTCCTCACAGAAGGCTGAATGGGAACTCCACTTGCTGCCTGCTGACCAAGCATTAAATATTTTGGAGATTCAAAAGCCTCTGAGCTTGTCATAATGGGCTTGCTCTCAGGTAAGGCACTGTATGTCATATCTAAGGTCTGTCTCTTAAGAGCAGAGGAAGAGGCTCTGAAGTTATCTTTGCTACAACTCTCAAATTTATACTTGCAATCCAAAGTTGATGACCGTTTTTTATTTATTTCCTTGTCCTCTAGCTTAAGCATCTCCATACTGTCATGTAAGCAACTAGGCCCAATAGTCCTTAATTGTGATGTTAAAGTCTTGCCTCTCCCTGTCTTTTCCAAACCATTCCTCAATTCTTCCTTGTGTACAGTGCTACCTTGGCTGCAGTTTTCTGGGGCAGTGAGTCTGGATAAAGATGACCATTTCCGAAGAGGCCGGAAGTCCTTCATGTCYAGTGAAGAGTCCTGCTCCCCCGTACTGTGGTCTCCCAAAGTTTGTATGAAGCTTGTACTCCATTTTGAGCCATCTGATGTTAATGATTCCCTATGTTTGGAAATTGAAGCGCTGGAGTTAGACGGCATCACATGGGCAGTGGGAAGAGTAACCAGTGATCGACTAGGCTTAAAAGATAACGGGCCACTTGAAGTTGAATGATCTGGAAAGAGAAAAGATTGCCAAATTAGTTACAATTAACAGATAAAAGAGAATAAGATAAAAGGCAAAATGCTAGAGAGAAATCTGAATACAGTTTCCCATCATGTCTTTTCAGAGGTATTGCCATGGGAGAAGAGAGGTCTCCGGAGAGGGTCCAAGGAGTTCAACTCAGGAGCACTGGGTTCTTGGCAGAGGTAATGGAAAAGAATTCCAGTATTAGCCAAAGTAATAGACAGAGGTTTATTTAGGAAAGTAGATATACTCAAAAGAGAGTGCAGGCTATCTCAAGAGGAAGAAACCCTGACTTGGGTTGGGGTGAATATTTATAGAAGAGATGCACCAGAGGCTATATGGAAGGTGAAGACAGGGTAGCACAATTTCACGCCAGTTTTCAAAGTGCATATGTGTTTCCCTCATTTTACAAGAACATGGACCAGGGCATGGACTAAAGACATGTTGCTCAATATTTAAAAGTGTGTTTTCTGTATCTCAGTGACTTGTGGGTGTTTCCTTCAAGATTCAATATTTCTCTCTCCTAATCCTAAATCTCTATCTCAGTACTTCCTCAAAAATAAGGAAACGGGAATTCTTACTATAGCTTCAGGTTTATCAGAAATGTTAACACACTTTAAAAACATTTTCTAAATATGCTTACATAATAAAGTATAAGTAAGGATAAAAAATGATTGGGAAACATTTCCATATTTATCCTATTTAATCAAAGTATTGTGCCTTTAAAAGAAACAAAATCCATCTCCACATTAAGAGTTTTTACTTATACTCTAACAAGTTATGTCTCAGACACAACTCGAGGTGAAGGTGGTATTTTTTAGTCTCTTCTAAACTGTAGAACTCTATGGCAAATCTGAACTTTTTAGCACCTCCCCCAACTCTAATTCAGAAATGTGAATAAAGGAGCACCTACAATAATAAGAAAGGGTCTAGGAAAAATTTGCAGAGACAGAGTAGTTCCGACATTTCCAATATCATTTAAATGTATCATCAATGATACAATCCCAAGCTAGAATCTTGGCATCTACTCCAATGCCTGTCTTTTTCTTTATGTTCATTAAATGCCAAGTTGTAAATTTTTACTTTCAAAATGTCTGAATATCTATTGCCTTATTTCAAAAGTCCCTATATCTACTACTCTACACATATGAATAGTTTTACTATTGAAAGACCAGAAAACAAAAAGGGTCTCTACACTCAATGAATTTATCATAAAGAGCCAAATCATCATTATATATACCAAATTAAAATCAAAGATCATAATGTTATCAGGGCATATTTACAAATGGGACAGCAATCTGAATTGGTGGGAGGCTGGAGATGAATGGTAAAAGGCTWCTTTCACATGTTATTCTATATATTTCTATATCTGTTTGTCTCCTATACCAGAGTATATCTAAATACCACTTCTGTGCTGTGATATTGTTTTATTAAAGAAATAAAAGTAAAATAAATGTTTATAATGTCATAAGAAAATTCAGATGAGTATGAGCCAGGCAGATTAATTTTTAAAATGATATTCCAATTGGTCTTTGCACAGAAATTGTTCACCTAGAGATAAAAAGTGAAACATATTACAAATGGAGGGATATGAGCAAAAGTATCAGAGTGAATTTATCATGTATAAAGGGTGCCCATCAGATTCTGCAGTCTTTCCATTTTTTTGGAAAGTTCTCACATTTTGAGTTCAAACTCCCAAAATAAATTTTAGAACTCACATTCCCAATACATCCTGTACCTACGATAAAGACATTCAGAAGTTCCTGCAAAACACTTCAGTTTGAAAAAATAGGCTCTAGGTAGAGTTAGCATTTCATAGCTGGTATAGGCAATAGCAAATGCATCAGTTTTCCACAAAGGCAGCACCAGAAGAGGCCCCACAGTGGGCACAAAATCATGTTTCTAAACAATAAGTGGCAGCAGTTAAGCAGCACTAGTAGATTCCTCCAGTGTTTGGTTAGCAGAAACATAGCTGTTCTTTGGTGTGATATAAGGCATGTTACCAGAAAGTTTAACCTAAAGCATGGTTATTCAATCCTCCCAGAAAGTCTATGAAGTACCAAGTACCCTTAAATAAATTCCTCAACTGTTCAATCAGCCACTCAGCTTCTGCTGCTGATTAAGAACAAGAATGATAAAAGTATGATGCCAGGAGAATATGACTCTAAAAGAAGGAAAACAAATTATCCCGTTTATCTACAATATGAAGTAAGATTCAAGGAAAGTTGCTCAAGGTAATTCTTGAAAGGTAAAGATGAAGTAGAACTGTACAAATCTCAAATGCTCTGCTAGGAAAGAGGTTTTGTTCAGCAATAAATATGATATCACTGAAAGTTTCCAAACAAAGGAATGAATGCCATGATTAAAGCTATACTAAAGAAAMTTATTCCTGTAGTAAAGAATGAATTAAAGTAAAACAGCTGACAACGCGATAGATTAACAGAATATCATGGTAATCAGAAAAAAAAAAAAGTAGACAGGAATATGCTGAGGATTGGTTCTAAATAGAAATAGGACAAATGTTCCCAAAAGTCTACARTATAATATAAAAAGAGAAAACATCTATGGCAAATTTGTATTAATAGATTAAAGTACTATTATATTTTACAAATGTTTGTATAAACATTACTAAAGGAATATTTATTAAAATCACCATAGCCTCTTAAAAATATCTGAAYTTTTTAACAAAAAATGAAGACAAAAATGTTTAAATTCACTAACAGCAAAAACATTTCCCCACAACAATCATAAAATTATTAAAGGCTGTTAATATACTATGATGATAAGAAAATGTAACTGTTATGAACTTTGGAGATGAAGAACAATATGTATATGTCAAYATTTAAAAGATAAATATGTATATGTGAATGCACATGTTTATGTGAATGCACATATATTTATGTATAAACACATATGTGCATGAGCAGAGAAAAGGTCTGGAAGAGTATACTCAAAACTTAATAAACAAAATTAACCCTATGTAGTGAAAGGATGTCAAAAAAAGAAAGTTCTTTCACATGTTACTTTATATAATGTCTTATTTTAATTTCTATAAAGGAACATAATTTTACCATTTGGTCAAACTTTTGCAAAGATGTTCTATGGCTTTGTATCTCAAAGAACACTGTAACTAAAGAATGAAAAATATATCAAGGGACTGTCTCATTTTCCATGTTACAGCTAAAAGCACTGAGACCATAATCATCATCAGGCTTAGCTATTATTTAGATGTGATAGTGCACTACTTTCCCATCTGCCTTCAGTAGCTCTGTATTTCCCAAATGCACATAAAATCAACAATTAGTGATAAATTCCACATCASACAAGTATTTACTCCCAGACTAGTATTTACAAATGTGATTGATTAATGCTATTCATAGAATATTACCTTGAGCACAGAATTTACTCCATTGACATACCTTATTAGAAATTCTCAAATTTTGCTACACAAAAAACTAACTGGGGGAGGGGGAGCTGGAGTTGTGGCTCAGCGGTAGAGCACTTACTTTACATGTGTGGGGCTCTGGGTTCGATCCTCAGTACCACATAAAAATAAATAAACAAAATAAAGGTATTGTGTCCATTTACAACTGAAAAAAATTTTAAAACAAAAAACTAACTGGGATCTGGTGACCTACATGAAGAAATTCAGATTCAGTGTAATAGAAAAGGACCCAAGAAATACCATTTTTAAAAAAGTGATTCTGCTATTTCATCCACATTAATACCAATCATCTTGAAATCTTCAAACTTAAATATCATATCCCCAGTTCAATCATGATCAGTATCTGAGTTCTACAGTATGACTGTCAAAACTAAGGATCAAAGCTTAGTCCATTCACAAATACACACACACATACAAAAGCACACATAACAAGAAAAAATGAACAGGGAATCAAGAATTTGACAACATAAATGTCTGGGAAAAAAGAGACCATTATATATTAGAGGTGAGTCCATAAAATGCTAATTTTAACACTTCAAAAATATTACTTTGCCCTAAGAAACCACAGTTAGAGGTAAATGCAATGCAATTCATAAGGTGCTTTAAGTTAACTAGTTGTTGTTTCTTTAAGTTTAACTAATTTAAGTAAAAAATTATTAGGATAGCATCTAGCCCACATTTAAGTTATAACAGTGAATTCTCAAAGGAGCAGAAAATAGTCCTTATAAAAACCAAAGAACAGAGTCTGTAGTATTCACCAAGGGTAGAGAAAAGCTAATTGTTTCAGACAAATTTAAGCTAATATGGAAAGAATATAAGAAAAGGACATCAGAATAACCTGATAATATAAATGAACTATATTTAAGGTAACATATTTCTAAACTCCAAACAAAATTCCAACCTTCTGTTTTACTGTTATGTTCACAAATTCTTAATTGTGAATACATTCATTCTATCTTCTCTTAAATATTGAGATACAGCTTCTTTCWCTCTATCCTTCCTTTTTTCCTTCCTTCCACACTCTTTTCAGCTTTATACTTTCTCTTGTAAAAAGGAATTAAATGCGAAAAGCCTACAACAGATCTATATGATAACAATAAATCATAAGTCTCTGTAGTTAAAAAAATAATTAGGAAACTAGGGAAAGCACTTGCCTAGCATGTGTGAGGCACTGGGTTCCATCCCCAGCACCACATTAAAAARAAAAAATTGGGAAACTATATAATCCTGTATCAAAACATTCTCATTTAAAATTTAATAGCTTAATATATTTATCACAATACAAAATATTATGACAAATATTTTGCTTTTTAAAGAAACRTGGTAACTAACCATAAAGACAATGATTAAGTTTTATAATTTCATGAAACTTTTTTCCCTTTCCTGCTAATGTCATGATCATACCATATCATACGGGGGGGGAAAAAAAGCATACCACATTAACTCCCCCATTTTTCTTAATAAATTAATATTTCAAAGTATTCCCTATATCTTTAGGTCTCAACTGTGACTTGCACAGAYGAGACAAACTGGATTTAAATGGC